GCAGGTGCACGAAGAGTAAGGGAGGCAGGGCTGGAAAAGCACAGCGCACTCACCCCGGTCCTCAAGGACGAGCGGCCGAACTGCGGCTGCAGCTGTGCATCGCACACTCAGGGTCGGACACAATGTAAACATTTCCAGTGGCGCTCACAGGCAGGTTACTGCGGGTTTTCAGTTCAGACGGTGAGTTTTGAATAAAAATGTCTGCGAGTTGTTCGGGGGAATAGACAGAGCTCAGATGGCCAGGGATCTGTCAATGGTGTTCGTCTGAAAGGCCACGTGGGCTTTGGCCACAGGCAGACCTGGATCCACAGCCTGGCTCCCCATTCGTTAGCTGTGTGGTCGTGGGTTAGGTCATTCATCTCTGTATTAGATGCCCAGTTTTAAAAAGTAACCACTTCTATCTGTCCATTAGTGTGTGGGTGTAAACAACAGGCATTTGAAGGGAGAGGGGTATAAAATAAGCTGAAACAGCCTTTGTTAGTGAGGTGGTAAGAGGAAAATGAGACTAGTGGCTGCACAAGGACACACAGAGGGAAGCCGTGTGTTTAAAGGCGAGATGACTCACTGTGTGTGACACTTTTCTTCTTCATCTTGGCAGCGCCTTCTCAGAAAGCAGTGCCAGTCTGTTTAATGTTTTGCTGAATGGTTGATGATGTTCCAGTCCAAAGTGAATTGCCGCAGTTTGCTCTTCATCCGTAGCAGTAATAGCGCACAGAGTCCTTCTGTGATGGCTAGTTCCTGTATCCATTACGACAGGTGCAGGCCAAAAGCTATTTCCAAACACATTTGCATATACTTTCCAGAGATGAAGTTATACAATTGACACCACCTGTAGAGAGACATCCCAGGAAAGCTCCAGTACCTGTGTAGCCTTTGGGCCCTGTACGCCTCCTCACAGAGCCCTACTGGGGCCCAGCATTCCTCTCCCTAGGGCTAGCTTCCACTGGCATCCTCAAGTGGTCGACCCACTCTTCCTGCCTGTGTCTCAGCCCCCTGGATCTGGACCTGCTATGTCCCTGCTCACCTGTAGTCATTAGTTCACCAGCGATCTTAGAGCCTGAGCCACAGCCTGAACTAGCGTCATGCAGGAAACCAGATCTGTGGCCCAGGCTCCACCAAAGCCTGAGGTCTCCAAGCTCTGCCCCTGAACGCTGCCCCCTAGACACGCTTTCTGGAATACCCAGGAGGCCTCGCCATGCCTGAACCGTGCCTGGCTGGCAGTTTCTCCTGGACTGGAAGTGGAGGTGGGAAAATTAAAGAAAGGGAAATCTCTTCCAAGAGGATGGGAGGCTCACCCACGTCAGTCAAACGAGTTGTTTAAGAGGGTAGGCTCTGGCCGGCTGGTGTGGCTCACTGGTGGAGTGTTGTCCCATGCACCCAGAAGTTGCTGGTTTGACTCCAGGTCAGGGCACATGCCCAAGTTTTGAGCTCAATCCTCAGTAAGGGACGTGCAGGAGGCAGCAGGTTGATGTTGATGTTTCTATCTCTCTCCCTTTCTCTCTCTCTCTAAAAATCAATAAAAACTTTATATATTTTTTAATATCTTTTATTGATTTTTTACAGAGAGGAAGGGAGAGGAATAGAGAGTTAGAAACATTGATCAGCTGCCTCCTGCACACCCCCTACTGGGGATGTACCTGTAACCAAGGTACATGCCCTTGCCCAGAATCGAACCTGGGACCTTTCAGTCCACAGGCTGATGCTCTATCCACTGAGCCAAACTGGTGGGGCGATAAAAACTTTTTTTTAAAAAAAGAGTGTAGGCTCTGGAGCCAGACTGCCTGGGTTCAAACCCCAGCTCTAACCTTTCCTAGTTCTGCGACCTTGAACAAGTTACTTCACTCGTTTGTTCCTAAATTTCCTCGCCTATAAGATGGAGATAGCAGGACCCACCTGATAGGTCGTTATGAATATTAAACAAGTTGCTGCACTGATAAAGAGCTCAGAACTGTGCCCTCCACATATTAACTATTAAGTAAATATTGATGATGATGATGATGATGACGACGATGACCAAAAGCCTCCAGCAAAGGGTTGACACCCAGATATCCCAGGGCTTGCCCTCCCTCATGACGCATGCCTCTTGCACCCTACCCCTAAGTCACAGTCCCTTTCACAACCCCCTACATCCCTGTGCCAGAAGATCACGCCTTTTCTCTTTTGTTTCCACCACCATAAGCTTAGAATGGGTACTTTTCCAGCCGAGCCTCCCTGTCTGCCTCTCTTACTCTAAATCTTACCTCCTGAGTCAGCTTCTCCACAGAGCCCAGGGGGTGTGCATCAGGTATCAGGGTATTCAGGTTTGCTTCCTCCCCAGACTCAGGCTGATTAAAGGCAAGGACAAAACCTCCTGTCTCCACCCTGTGGGCCTTGGAAGAGTGCCTGGCACGCAGTAGGCACTCAACCTATCCAAGGTCCATCCTTCTGCGTGACTGACTCTTGCCATCGATGTCAGTGACTGAATAATAACTGTTTCGTAGAGAACTCGGGAGGGTCCCCTTAGGTAGCACATGTACATCACTTAGCCAAGTGCTGCCATGTGTAGTTACTGTCACTGTGGTTGCTGTAACGGCAGCAGAGCCCAGGCTTCGGAGCAAAACAAACTTGGACCTGCAGACCAATTCCGCCACCTAAAACCTGCAGGGACCTCAGTTTCCTCAGCTATAAATTGCAGTTATAATACCTATCTCCAGGCAAAAGAGTAAGCAATCGACAAACATTAGGTGGCTGCTCTTTCTCCTCCGTGGCTGACTAATCTGGGGATCTGGCTCAATTTCTCTCACTTCTGTGCTCCTAGGTTCTGCAACATGGAACTAATTGATCTTCGTGTTTCCTGCCAGAGCTACATTTCAAAATTTTTTAATTCATCATCTTTTTCCTTGAAACCTACTCATTCTACATCCCTGAGAGAGGTTCTTTTCTTGATAACTATTCACTGTGTTAATATATTAAGTTGTTTCATCTCTCGGACTCTCCCTCACCCCCTCTGTAGAGGCTGTCGCATAGTCCAGACTCAGGACCCCTGCACAAGTCCAGGGCCATTCATACAACAGGACTAGGTGTGAGTGGGACCCCAGGACCTGCGCTCCATCCTGGCTGGACTGCTTTCACAGTGCAGTAGAAGTGGGGTCCACAGGGCACGCAGGGAGGACAGACTCCGCATCCTCAGGATCTAGGAGAAAAAAATCTGCATCCACGAACAAACAAGTGTGGGTGCAAATGGAGCATCACACCCATGGCCTCTCCTTTCTGTTCTGCCCCAGACTTTGCAGATGGGCATCAAGCACTTCTCTGGGCTCTTCGTGCTGCTCTGCGCTGGGCTGGGTCTGTCCATCTTGACAGCCATTGGTGAGCACATCGTGTACAGGCTGCTGCTACCACGAATCAAGAACAAGTCGAGGCTGCAGTACTGGCTCCACACCAGTCAGGTGAGTGCCGCGGGCGTCTTGCTCCGATGCTCCCAGCCGTCAGAATTCCCAGTAGTGGGAGGATCCAGAGCTCCAAGTCAGACCGCAGTGACACGTTACCAAGAGAAGTGAGGTGGTGTAGACACCCTCCGTGTACAGGATAGTCTCCTCCATCCCATTCATTCACTTTCCCCTTAAATTAACCTCCCCCATAAAGCCCCTTCCTTTCCTATAACCCTCCACTGCTGCTCACAATAGAAGCAATAGAATTGGGTTTTTTTAAACCTGGTTTCACTTAAATAGTGGCAATCTGAGGAGATGCTGTGAAAGATTTTTTTCCCTATAGATTGTTTTCATGCCAAAATTGAAACCCATTAAATGAGCTTGAATTCCCTGATTCCCTTTGAGCCCACCGGCCCTGGTTCTCTCTGAATTTTCAATGGTTCAGAAAATGGGGCCACTTTTGTCCCATTCATCTGTTTTGCTGACCACTTTGTCACAGTAGTTTTTTTTTTTTTTCTAGGTAGGTTACTATCACTGGTTTGGTTACACTTGAACCCTGTTTTCCTACCTTCATCCAGGGAAGGTAGAGAACTCAGGTCTGCCTGGTGCGGCTCAGTGGTTGAGGGTCAACCCATGAACCAGAGGTCACCAGTTCGATTCCCAATCAAGGCATGTGCCCTGGTTGCGGGCTCAGTCCCTGGTGGGGGCTCTCGCATCAATGTTTGCATCTCTCTACCGCTCTCCCTTCCTCTCTCTAAAATCAATAAAGACATATTTTTTAAAAAAGAGAACTCCACAGATCAGTTTTGTTCTCAAGTGTTCTTTCCTTCTTTGTTTTAGCTGCTGGGACTTCTTCTTCTTCTTTTTTTCTTTCTTTTTTTTTTAATGCAGGCATCCTGGTATAGTTAACAACAGAGTTGGTATGAACCAGGCACAGAATGCCAACCAGCTTCTGGCTGCTGTTCTCCCAGCTGTATAGCACTTACCTAGGTACACAGCAACCTAGGCGGCTGCCTATGGCTGGGGGCAGCTGCCTATGGGGCAGACTTTTTTTTTTAACTCACCTTTAGCAAGTGCACTGGGCCCTTTGTCATACCTTAGTCACGACAGCTCTTCTATATATCACATACCTTTTTACAACCCGGAGCTTTTCTAAGCTTCCTGTCAAATTACTTTTTTCCCCTCCTGGTAAATGACTTACTAGTTGACTTAGAATTTTTGTCCTCTTGAGATCTGGGGCTGAGTGTTGATCTGTTTCGGGCACCTCCGGACATTTGTTTACAGAGGCCAAGGCTTGTGATGACGAGATGCACCGTTGAATCTCGGGCAGGGCTTTGGCCCCGACTGTGTGTTTCTAATCACCTCTGTGTGTGACTCTGTTCTTTCTGCCAGAGACTACACAGAGCGCTAAACACGTCATTCGTAGAGGAAAAGCAGCCGCGTTTCAAGACTAAACGTCTGGATAAGAGGTAAGAAGAGACTGGGTTTCTTCAGATTTGTTCATGTAAAAGGTTAGAGATGAACTGAGATTCCGTCCTCAACAGGAAAATTATCTATAATAATAAAAGCATAATATGCTAATTAGACTGGACGGCCGAAGAACCTTCCGGACAACCTTCCAGAGGAAGCTGGGGCTGTGAGGGCCGAGCCCCTTGCACAAATTTCATGCACTGGGCCTCTAGTGTATAAATAATTCAGATAGCTTAGAACCAAGTTGTTGATAAACATAATGAGTAAAAGAAGATGTAGTTTCAAATAGAACAGACAGAAACCATATCTGCACATCTATGAACACTGAAAGGCAGCATAGACAATATTTGTCCAAATCCCGTCTCAGACACTTACAATAGGCATGGCCTTGGGAGAGTTATTTAGCCTCTCCATGCCTCAGTTTCCTCCTATGTGAAATTGAGTTAAAAACAGTACCTGCCCTAGAGATGCTATAAGAATTAAATGAGAAAATACATGGAAAGCCCTGAAAATAAAGCTAGTTTAGCAATCGCTCTTGTGTTCAAAATACACATAACACAATTCATGACTAACTGCAGGTAATTAACTCACGCAGTATTGCCTTCTGGGCATGTTTCCACGCCCCACTCCATTCTAGCACTCCCAGGAGTTGAAATATGCAGCAGACATGTTCTGCTTCATCCATTTCCTGGCATTCTTATGCCAAACTCCCCAGAAAAGAGCAGCTCATTACCAGGAATTAACAAGCATTAAATGCACAGATGACATTTGAAAATCAGAACGTCATACCTTCCCCACATCCAACCTGGGGACAACTGTTGCCTGTTCACTCGTGGTGGGTGGCTAAGATGTCAGAAGCGTTTGGGTCTGGTTCCTGGTTTGGCTGCCTAAGTTCCTGGTTCATTCATATGCCAGGGGCCTCGGTGTAGGGCATTACCTGCCCGCAACTCTGTCATCGATGACAGATCCTGGGCTCAGAGCTAGGCCTTCTGGGTAATTTTGAAATCTGACACTCTCACTTCTCTAACAGAAGGAAAGGCAAGGGTGGAAAACATGATTTGTTTTTCTTGCTTGAACCTCCTCTGATACTGCCGCAGCGCCCTTCTCTCCAGGTTGCGTCTCTAGCTTGTCGGGATCCTTTCCACTGTCTCTTAAAGCCTCTCTTCCCGGTGGGTGAGCAGCCCCCCTGCCGTTCAGTCTGTGGTCTTCCTGTTCCATATACTGCGGCCCTGTCAGCGACAAGCTGTAGGCGGAACGGGTCACAGCTGTTCTATGTCATGCATTTTTTTCTATAATTATTTTGACATGAATGTTTAACCGGAGGAACGCAGAAGGCACAGCAGCAAAGACATCATCTCATAATGACGAGGCATTTGTTTTCCAACCTAATGGAAACAGGAAGCCCAGCTCCGACTGTGATGCGAATCTAAGCACATCTCTTTTGCCTAAATTGAGGACCAAATGTGTCTTTCCCTCAACTTATCCACTATTCTTGGCAAGTCCCCTTGCGGAACCCCTCATTTTGAGAAGGCCCCGGGGCAGAACATGTCCTCGTGGGTTATGTTGGGTCCACACTTCCTGTAACCAACACCCACCTGTAACCTTTCAAAGGCGGCGAGTGTTTGAGGTCCCACGGCTGTTGTGCAATCTTCTGAATGGCCTAGTGCCGTGGTCAGCAAACTGCAGCTTGCGAGTCACATGCGGCTCTTTGGCCCCTTGAGCGTGGCTCTTCCACAAAATACCATGTGCAGGTGAGCACGTACAATGCAATTGAAACTTCGTGGCCCATGCGCAGAAGTCAGTATTTTGTGGAAGAGCCACACTCAAGGGGCCAAAGAGCCGCGTGTGGCTCGCAAGCCGCAGTTTGCCGACCACTGGAGTGGGTATCGAACCTCTCCGTTACACAACTGCTCGGTGGGAGCTTGTTTGGCTCATTTGTTAGTGTTAAGTACAGTTCACTCACTGGCCACATTATACTCCCAGGCTGAGAAAGGCTTGATACAAAACACAACCTACCCAAGGGAACCTCACCTAAAGTCAAGTCTAGGGCTTGATTAATTAGGTTATAAATTTTTCAATCCTTACCTGCTCCTCAGAGGCAATATATCTTTTAAAGATCTCCACTCAAGCTGGGCCAGCGTGGCCAGTGGTTGAGCATCAGCTTACGAACCAGGAGGTCACTGTTTGATTCCCAGTCAGGGCACATGCCTGGGTTGCAGGCTGGATCCCCTGTGTGGGGCGTGCATGAGGCAGCCGATCAATGATTCTCTCTCATCATTGATGTTTCTATCACCTCTCCCTTCCTCTCTGAAATTAATAAAAATATATTTTTTAAAAGAACAACTCCCCACTCATGTTAGGTTTAGAATTTACAATAAGCTGGACATTGCAATGTACAGTTGAATTACAAAGAAGGCATTTAAAATTATTAAGTTCTTATACTCAAGAATAGTAAAAGGATGATTTTAAAACACACACACACAGCCTAAACACTGTGGGAGGGCAGCAATGTCTCACACTCATTCCTTCCAACTAGACACCAAGTCTGACACTCAGCATCTGCCGACTGGCATTCACAGGTGGGCCAGAGCCACCTGTCGATTATGGAGCACTTGTGATGCTGGGAGCTAGAGGAGTTTGTCAGGAAACATATTCTTCTATGTTCTGTTCAGAAAGCTCTGGAGAAAACCAGATTGGCTCTGTGTACCTGATTTCTGTGGTTGCCTGGACAGTCCAGTAAAACCTGTGGATAGATGCCCTACTCACAGGTTTTCCCCAATGAATCATTCTATGGGACTCTGTTAGTTTCACTGGCTTGAAAACTCTCTTTTGGGGGGAAGAATATCTATGCAAATCCACATGTCTGCTACAATTTGACATCCCTCCTTGTGCTCCATATTTGTTGAAGGAATTAAGCAATCTATATAATAGAGGAATATGCAAATTAACCAGGACAAGGTAACGTTTCAACCCAACAGCAGGGACCTGAGGCTGCATGGCACCTGGCCAGGGCGATGGACCTCAGGCCACGCCCCCCACCCCAGCGGGACTTGATGGGGACCTGAGGCCACAGCCCCCACCTGACGGGCTTGACAGGGGACCTCAGGGTGTGTCCTCTGCCCCAGCAATGAGCCGGGAGACCTCATGCCACACCCCCTGCCCCAGCTACCGGCCAGGGCACCTCAGGCCTCGGGCCCCCCACCCCCCCCCAAC